CTAGTATCACTCAGCCCTCTGTGAACAGTAAACAGCCATCAGGTGCTGATGATCCATTGTTAGGCTGATGGTCCTTCTTGAGCATGTGAGCAGCTGGTTCTGGTTGTCAGCAGCAAACTGGTTGATCCACTCTGAGAAGGTGCTATTTAAGAGACTGAGCTGAATACAGCACCTCAGACTGAGGAAGTCCTCAGGATGAAAGATGAAATGTTTCTAGATTTTTTTTGCTTTGTTTTGTTTTTGTTTTTTTGAATGTCCAGAGGACCAGATTGAACTTTTTTGGATTTTTCTACCTGGATTATTGAGCATGCATCAGGATATATATCATAAACTTCATCATAGTTCTAGAGAAACATGATGAGCACAAATCAAAGGTTAGTCACTCTGTTCCTGTTCTCAGGCGTTCCACAAGGAGTCTGAACACTGGAAACATTTGTGACTCAAGCAACAAGAAAGATATAAAAACATTTGATTTGTGCTCTTTATTTAATGTATTTATTTCAATAATCCCCCTGGCTTTTTTATTTGTTTGAATGTATGTTGATAACAGTCATGTAATGTTTTACTTTTAATTATTTAATAAAAAATCCATCCATCCATTCATTATCTTTTACACAGGGGTCGCTGGTACTCATGTCCAGCAATCACTGTGTGAGGGGCGGGGGACACCCTGGACGGGACGCAAGTCCATCACATGGACACATAGAGACAAACAACCATTCACTCTCTCACTCACACCTAGGGACAATTCAGAGTCACCAATCAGTCTAACATGCATGTTTTTGGTCTGTGGGAGGAAACCGGAGTACCCGGAGAAAACCCACGCATGCACGGAGAGAACATGCAAACTCCACCCAGAAAGGCCCCTGGACCGGGGTTTGAACCAGGGACCTGCTCGCTGAGAGGCAGCAGCTCTACCAGTTGCGCCACCGTGCTGTCCTACATATGTGTGTGTGTGTGTGTGTGTGTGTGTCCTTGTTTATGCTACTTTGTGAGGCCCATTTTTCCAACTTATACTACATTGTGAGGACCAACTGCTCCTTATGGGGCCCAAAGCCCGGGCCCCATAAGAAGAAGTCCCGTTGGTGGGTTAGGGGCTAGGTTTAGGACTAAGGTGTGAATTGAGGATGTGTTAGGTTTAGGGTTAGGTATGTACTGGTAATGGTTAGGTTATGGATAAAGGTCATGGTTAGGCTATGGAAATGAATGAAAAATGAATGGAAGTCAATGCAAAGGCCCCATAAAGATAGCAAAACTAACCTGTGTGTGTGTGTGTGTGTGTGTGTGTGTGTGTGTGTGTGTGTGTGATTTCAGATCATCGTAAGCACCATTTAAAGTATAAACAGCTTGTTGGACTGATTCTTTAATAAAACTCGGACTCCAGGTTTAGCTTCTGTCAGCTCATCTTTCTGATTAAACGCAGATTAAAGACTAACAAAACGTCACAGAGAGGAAAAAAGGAGTTATTAACATAAATGTGATTGTAGACAATCACATGAAATAAATGAATTCAGACGGTTTAGTTAGAGGTCAGAGGTCATCCATGAGGGCCAGCAGGTCGTCTCCTTTACTGCTGCTGGGATTGTCAGGAATCTTCTGTCCGTCTGCAAACTCTTCAGCGATTCGAGTGAGTTCGGAGGTCGTCTGTTGGTCCTGAACCGAACAAACACGTCGACATGTTGAAACGCAGCATTCATGACGAGAACAAAGAAACAAACATCTGGATGACGAGAAGTCATTGTCAGACCTCAGAGGAAGGTGCTGCATCATCGTACCTGCACGGCCTGAATGCTGATCACTTTGAAGCAGGACTTCTGGGCTCCACCTGCAGCTCCTCTGCTCAACAGAACAGAACTTTGTGTCAAAATTACTGCTGGTCCATCTGCAGAGAAGTAAAGAAAAGCACTCACTCCTCCTCCCCCTCCTCCTGGTCTGCAGGGAACAGGTTGATCCTGAAGCCAGTTTCTCCTTTGGGAAGGTTCTGGGTCTTCATGCTGCCCATGAGACGGGCCAGCTGGTTCAGCTCCTCTTTGGCCAACAGGTTGGGAGTGACATCAAGCTGCAGGACGGGACGTGCACGGAGGACGGGACGTGCACGGAGGACGGGACGTGCACGGAGGACGGGACGTGCACGGAGGACGGGACGTGCACGGAGGACGGGACGTGCACGGAGGATGGGACGTGCACGGAGGACAGGACGTGCACGGAGGACAGGACGTGCACGGTGGACACAGCAGAAGGAAAGAAGCCTTACAGTGTGAGTATAACATGCTGCGATTTTTAAAGTTTAATTTAGTCACTTCCTGTTTTATTTTGAAATATTTTTCACTTTAGCCTCTCAGTTTAGCTTCCTGTCTGGTAAACCAGTTGTTCCCAAAGTTGGGCTTCAGGGTTCCACACAGGACCATTACCTCCTGCAAGTTATCATTAAAATCTGTCCAGTGGTTCAGGAGATATTTTGCCAACAATACGCAGACAGATACATTATCGCCCGCCCCTCAGAGGAGAGGATGAGGAGTTGAGAGCAGGGTGATACCTGAACACCAGGTGTTGTGGACGAGTGCGTCTCCGGTGGGCGGTCTGCAGCGTACCTTCAGAAACACACAGCAGAGTCAGAGGCGTGTGGACGGGCCGCGGCGTGGACCAGAACACGCTACATACATGTTGGAGCCCAGTGTGAGGACTCTGTCCCCGCTCAGCTCAAAGGATCCTTCTGGAACGGCTCTGCTGAGACGTCCTCCGCTCTGAAACTCAGTCCGACTCACTTCTCTGTCCTTCTCGTCAAAGGTTCTGAAAAGAAGAAACGGATCGTAGAACTTGATGTTTGTCATCAAACATGAGCGAGAAGTGGAGGAGCCAGACTCTGAGGGACTCGAACCACCGTACTGAGGAACGCTTCCGCTCCATGTCAGGAAACATTTGAACAAATCAAATGATCCACAGTCGCACCCGACCGAGCTGAGGGTCTTCACCTGATGAGTCCTGGAACCTGCACCCCGTGAGGCACCGGGCCCGAAGTGGGCAGGATGAAACGCCCGTTTGGGTTCTGGATGTGGTTCCTTAAGAAAAGTGAGACCTGAGAAGGAAGATGACAGTTAACGAGTTAAAGTTAACGAGCAGAGACGTGTTCGTGTGGGTTCAAAGGTGCTGGACTCACTCGGACGTGCAGGTCCTGAACAAAGCCGAGCAGCGTTTGTCTCAGGAGCTGCAGCTCTCCTTCAGAGGAGGTCGAGTAAACCTGGAGGCACAAAACAGACCTGAGATCTGCTCCGGCAGAGGCGGCTGGAGGCCCGAGGCGCGGGACACATACCTCCATGAGCTTCCTGTGAGCCTCGTCCACCTGGTTCAAAACCGCCGGCGTGTCCCGCACAAACCCTCTGATGGAGTCCAGGTGGTTGAAAGACACCAGCAGCAGGTCTTTGGGTCGAGGACAGAGGAGCAGCTGATATTTGAAGGCCATCACCACCAGTTCATAAAGCTGCAGCCGCAAAACAAACAAACAAACAAACAAACAAATGAAGATTCCAAAACTTTTATCAGAACGTCCCCAGAAGTTTGGAAATTAAAGTAACACTTCTTTCAGCTTTTCCCTCTTCAGGGTGTCCACAGCGAGTCCTCCTCCACCTCACTTTGTCCTCTGTGTCCTCTGTCCTCACTCCAACTACATCCATGTCCTCTCTAACTGCATCATATGTCTCCTCTTTGTCTTTTTCCTGCAGCTGCATTTCTAACATCCTTCTACCAGTATACCCACTGTCCCTCCTCTGGACGTGTCCAAACCACTGTCCCTCCTCTGGACGTGTCCAAACCACTGTCCCTCCTCTGGACGTGTCCAAACCACTGTCCCTCCTCTGGAC